TTATTATGCAATACCCACGACCCGACCCGCATCATCTTTGTTTTACCCAGACCCGAACCCGGAAAAAAGCGTTTGAAAAAATACCACCCGCGAATCACCTTTTTTGCGGGTCACCCGTCGGGTACCCGCGGGTACCCGACCCGATGCAGGACTCTGTGCTAGAACTGTTGTATTCTTTTTGAAAAATAAAAAATAAATAGCTCACTTGTCATTGATTTGTATCCTTAATTATCCATCTAACACTGAAAAGGTGGTCCTTGTGAAGAATCTCATCACTATATTCCCTCAGCTGAAAGTCATTTACAACAATAGTTTGCTGAAGATTAAGTTTGTTTTAACCAAGGTATAAGGTTTTTTGAGGTGTGATTTTATGAATGATCTATTCTGTCAACATTTGATGAATTAGAAAAATATTAATATTTTTAAATGTTAACAATTATTTTCTTAATGACATATTGTGCTAATTAAATCCTTGTAAATAAATGTCCAATGAATGTATTCTTGCATTCGATTTTTTGAATAAAAACCATATCCACCACCTGGTATTTCCAGTAATCGTCATTGACACACAATGTGCAGATATAACACAATCAAATGTTAATTCTGGTTAAAGAAGTATAACACAAAATGTGCAGAAATAACAAATGAGTGTGTTCATCTTGGTTACACATTTATGACACACAATGTGTAAAATGTGCACATTGTGTGTTAGGGGCATGCAACACATTTTGTGTGTAAAAATGATTTACACATAAATAAACACAACACGTGTTGTCCCTGAGCACACTCTGTAGGTGTGTTGAAATTCAACACGTTGTGTCATTTTTGACACATCCCTTCTAAGAGTGTATAGCAGACAGTAGCTAGCAATTTTCGACAGATACAGCCCACTCAAAAATATATTGTTTTATATAAAAATTAATTTATATATATATGCAATTTTCGACATACAGCCCACTCAAAAATATATTGTTTTATATAAAATTAATTGATATATATATATATTAGCTGTACACTTTACGAATATAATAGTTTTTATGGACAACTTTACCATTCAATCTCGTCCAACTGATTTTGCTGCCGTCACTCCTCGGCTCTTGGTAGTTCAGGCATTTATCAAACCTGGCAACTCCGGGTTTCCTGGCAGCTGTCAATCAAAGTCCAGTGGCTCCGCCCCAAAGTGCCAGAAACGTTTCACGCGCGCGTAGACAGACTCCGCGAGGCTGATACTCCCGCGAGCGAGCAAGAGGGCTCCCTCTTGAAATATATAATCCTTGGTTTCTGTGTAAACAATAAGTAAAAACCCCACCTCCAGTCCTGTGATAGACTAGTGTCATCTCTGTGTACCTGTACATCAAGCGGCCTCATTCTACAGAAATGGGCCATGGGGCAAATTAGTTCAATTAATGGGAATGTTGAATGTTTCATTTTTATTTTCCAGGCCAAATCCTGTGTACATGGAGTCAGATGGGGAGTCAGAAACCAGCTGTGTGAAGAGAACATTTGCCAAGCCACCTGATGTTCATTGTCCTACGGTGCTCCCAGAATCCAGCCAGTACCCCTCAGGACCAACCCCAAATGCAAGCAGTGGTATGTCATTACTTATTAAAATGGCAGAAACAATATGTAATTGCATGTGAGCTTTAATTTACAAGCATTTAGTTCCTCCATCAATACATTCAAACATCAGTCATGTGATATGTGTTCAAAAGTTACAGCATCCATTATTCCTGTCTTTTGTTCCCTTTTAGCCTCTGGAGGAAGCCACTCGGAGGATGTTCTGTCAATTCACCAGGCTGATAATGGTAAGTGAACCACTTCACACTAGGGATCGACCGATAAGGCTTTTTCAAGGCCGATACCGATTATTAGTAATCAACGAGACCGATAACCGATATTTGGAACCGATATACATTTGCAGTAATATCAGAAAATCTTGGTCTCAAAATGTAGAATAACACAAACTCCAACACAACTTCTTTGAAATGCCTTTTTATGTTTGATGAACTTTTCAACATCTTAAAACTGGTTTCCTCTCAGTGACCCTGAGTAAAGTAAATGAAATAGAAATAAAATAAAAATTACTAAAACTTGTTCTGAACTTCTGATATTTGAGTCTCACTCATTTAGTAGTCCCAATTCAGCAGCACCAGATTGTGGTGCAGAGTTGCTGCGAGGCTCCACTAGCAATCCCCCCCCCTCACAGTTTATCCGCTGCGAGACGCTACCCTGTGTAACTGGGAAACTGATAGAATTGGATCGGGACATTGCTCGTGAACACAGAGTGGTGACTGCAACCAGAGAAACGGCCGCATCAGATTCAAAGTTTTATCGGCAATTTGATTTTTTTTTTTAAAGGCCTCGATAATCGGTCGACCCCTACTTCATACTACTACTTCCGGGCGGACAGTATGTAAATGTGCTTTGTCCGAGTTACAGCATTCATAGTTCATGTTTTGTGTTCTCTAATTGTAGGCTTTTGTGGAAGCTATTTGGCGGAGTTGGACCAGTCAATGGACCACTGTAATGATGGTAAGTAAACTAATGGTGTAAAAGTCAGGCACATTCATGTGGCTGCCGATGACAATTTATTCAGGACACCGGAAATATGACCCAATGTTTCAGTCTGTCCGAAACGTTGGTCATATTTTCTGTATCCTGAATAAATGGTCATCGGCAGCCACTTGAGTGCACCCCTCGTTATTAAGTAGACTAATAGGCTATTATGTTTTTTTTTATCTTTGGATCACAGGAATTATCAGCACCTTAGGTGGGAAACTATTCTTTAATCACTCACTCGGTAGTCAAGTGTGTTCATCCCACAGGTCTCCTTTATCTAAAGTTGGAAAGTAACCATATGGGAATAGCTAGGTGCAATTGCTATATGGTGCTCATGGATAACAACTTTGATAGTGCTCATTTGCCTTATTTAGTTATTTCTCTCTTTTTCTAGGATTGCCAACATATAACTCCAGCCCCTCCCACGCTATGCCATTAGAGAAAGCAAGGAATGGTATGCATTTCTCATCTTAAATGTTGTTTTTTTTGGAAAATTCCCAAATTCATGTTCAATATAAAGAATGAATAGCAGCTCAGTGGCCTCGTGGTTAGTGTCCGCCCTGAGATTGGGAGGTTGTGAGTTTGATCGCCGACCGAGTCATACCAAAGACTGTTAAAAATGGTACCCGATATCTCCCTGCTTGGCACTCAGTATCAAGGGTTGGATTGGGTTAAGTCCCTGCGACATACTAGCATCATGTCCAGGGGGTGTACTTGTACATCATGCTGCGGAAACAGGATATCGGCTCCTATGGGCCAATGGGTCTCATGGCTTACTTATAAACAATTAATAATGGTGTCTTATCTTTTAGACGGCGGTGCCAGCTATGCACATGGCTCAAGATTAGCTGACTTCAGCGCACCGTGCTTGGCTCACCTGACCCCGCAGCACCCATCCCACCCCCTTCAGCTCCAGAAACACCACGGGGGAGATTATATGGAGAGGAATCAAGCAGAGTGTTGAAAGGCAAGTATCATTTTCTGAGAAGGTTCTTAACCGTACTGATGCCTTCTGAATTGAGAAACCTATCCCTTGTGACTTTCCCATCCAATCAGAGTGATTGTTTGGACCGACTGCCACACCCGATGCATGGCTGATTCAACATGTTGAATCGGCCATGCATCGGGACAGGCAGTCCAAATAAGGCGTGTCACGGTCGACGGTGCGGGACACACCATATTGAGTTTGGGCGACAGGACACGCGTCGTCTCCCGACTTACGAAAACAGCCGAAATCGGCCTGGTGTGTCAGGGCCTTAAGGCACAGCATAAAGACAGGGTGTTAATCATGTGTGCTAAACAGGTAACAGCTGCTGCTCTAGCAGTGATAACTGTGTGGGTTTATAATAATCATTTATAATGATACAGTATACATGTTGCTCTCCCCAAGGTTTCTTCCATTTCCCGTTAACTGTTGGGTTTCTTGTTGCTGTAATGGTCTAAGGTCAGAGGGTATGCTGTAAAGACCCTGAGACTTATGTGTCATTTCTGATAATAGACTTGATAAATAACATTTGATTGAATAAACAGACACAGGTACAGCAACCTGCTAAATACCGAAAACAATATTGTGTTAAATAATTACGAGATATTTTTCTTCAGCTTTCAAGTTCATGTTGTGGGGAAATGTTCTCAAAGGGTGTTTTCCTCACTAGCTTGTTGAGCCTGTTACACAATCACATCTTTAACAAATAGGTTTTAAGATAAAACAGTTTATGGAGGGAGGGCAGGATTCTCTTTGGTCACATGATTTCACAAACAGTCTGTTTCTGTGAAATCATGTGACCAAAGAGAATCCTGCCCCTCCCTCTGGTATTAAAAAAACGCTCCCTGCTCTCTGCTTTCTCATCTTCAGAGAACAACGACAAAGGTAAGAACACTTTACACTCTTAAAACTACTGGGTTAAAAACTACCCAATTTCGGTAGTTTCCCAACCCAGCGCTGGGTAAATATTGGACAGAACACACGCTGGGTTAATTTAACCCAACAAATTGGGTTGGTTATATAACCAACCCAATTTGTTGGTTATATAAGTTATATAACCAACCCAATTTGTTGGTTATATAAGTTATATAACCAACCCAATTTGTTGGGTTATATAATATTACCCAACAAATTGGGTTGGTTTTTTAACCCAATGAAGGGTTCACATTGACTACACTGCTGGGTTTAGTTGTTAATGTATAATTAATTATTACTAATTATAATGGGTTGTTCCCTTTTATAATTGACATTTCATTGGCACAATTGATAGTCATCAATTTAACAAAATGATCACATTATCACAATTGTGTGATACATCTTGTTGGCATTTACTCACCTCTGATCCTTCGGTTGTTTTCTTGATCAAATATATTCTCACACCAATGTAACAATAATGATTTATTAAAATTCATATCACAGAATCAAAACACATCAAAAAATAAAATTCCCAGTTCCTCACACAAGGCTTATTGATACTATGGAGAGATGTGGAACAAGAGGGAGAGGAGAGAGAAAGGAAGAGATGGGTGCAGGCCAGTCTAGTTGCAAGCATGTATTTGCGTTTTCAGGAACTTCACTGCTGGGGAAACAGTTCCCTCGAGTTCATAAACAACATCCTGGTAAAATTGCCAAGTAGGCAAACACTGATTTGTATAGTTTATGTCAAAGACATAAAAACTCTTAAAACAGGTATCCACAGCTGCTGCGAGAGCCGTCTCAGTCTCAATAGCCTTGCCTGAGATCACAACAAAGGCTTGAGAGCACAGCATCCCATCCTCAAGCAGTAGCACGAACGGGCACGACCTGGACGATTTGGCTTGCTCCAAATACTCCACCATGTTAGTTCCGACCTATGATGAGAAAGAAAAGAAAAAAGATAAGTATTTCTACCGGTGCAGAGAAATTGTCATCAGCTCTCTACTGAAGCTCTTTCAACCCCCTCCCACCCCATCAGCTGATTTAAGAAAGAAGCGTGACAGCCCTAAATTCAATGGCGTGGTCTTAAACCATTTATTCTGGGTGCGTGGCCAGTCTACTTATGTGTGGTCTGTGGTTTATACATCCCACGTCGATATGGAGTAACAACTTACACCGAGTTACAACTTGTAAGAATAGTGCTTCATGAAATGAGTATTCTGACAAACGTTAAGCTGTGTCACTCATTCCACGAATACAATCTTTACAAGTTGCACCTCGTTGTAAAGAGGAATCAGGCTTTCCAACAGTATAAAAGAATAATTGGAGTCATTTCACTATGAATTTATATTTGAATTTCTGTTCAAAGGTAAATTACTTACAGGCTTAACATCGATGAAGAATCTCTTTGATTCTTCCACACTGGCACGGACCAATTTTCTGCCCTGTTTATAAACAGGCGGAGGGAGCATGACAGGCAGCAGCATCAGGGCTACTTCTCCCCTGGCATCTGTAGGAGGACAATTATGGGTGTCAATATAGACTTGAATAGTCGTATAATACAATAAAATAAAGTTCCACATCAATCAAATCACCAAAAAAAATGTCTTTCTTGTTTGAGTGTTTTGTTAAGTTCTTATGTATATTTGAGTATCCAGAAAAGCATGATATAAAAACAAACTCCTTATTATTATTATTAGTAAGGTATTCTTTACATTTGCTAAGTTTGTTATAAAATAACTATCTTACCCAGATTGATCTGTTCCTCTGGCAATGCGAGTTTCCCTTCGCGTTTCGCCAGACGAATGATCTTGTCAGCGTAAAGAGGAACCCACGTTTCGAAGAGTTTAGGTGCAGGCTCTGCGAAGAGGATCGAAAAATCTTGTGCAATCTAAAAGATGGAGACAAATTGAGAAACATGGTCATTTAGACAATATGACAATACACTCACTATTCCTAGTGCATAGTAAAAAAGTACATTTTCCTGACCATAAAGTGTTAAATACAGGACAAATAAAGATATTGATATAATTCAGGGCAAGTTGACAAGACCTATGATGGCTGAGCTCCAATACTTAAAGAAGCAAGGTTAATAAAAGCATGACCAAGATTTAGCCTGTAGGAATCCAAACTCACGAGTAGTGACAATGCATAACATAATGTGCACAAGCTACTGTATGTGCACAAGAATTATATGCACCAACTCTACTACTTCTGAAAAGAAGTGGGCTTTATACAGCATGTCCTGTGTATACTATTGGATTAACCCATTTAGACCTGAGGCCGATTCTAAAAACGCCTTCTAAATCCTGACCTAAGTTTTCTGAAAAACTTCAAATATTTATTCAAAAATTACAAAAAATGTATGTTGCTATATACTGTACATAGCAACAGGAACGCCAAAAGGGGTTCCTGTCCTGAAAGGTATAGTTATTCCTCAGGTCCCCAAAAACATGGTCCAGGTGATTTTCTTTCAAAAGAAGCGATATATTCCATTTTGTATCGCTCTGTCCTAATTCTCCAATAAGCAATGAGTAGTTTCCATTCTCACAAAATGGCTAAACGCGTCTCCTCCTGGAGGAGAGCCTGGCTTCTATTTACCAAACTGCTCTAGCAAATAGGCGCCAGGCTACTATACGTATATTTGAGTTTTGACATACCATGCCTGGAGTAGTAAGACGAGGGAACATGGCCAGGACTTCGGGAATGGACTTCGAGTGCTCGGCCCGTATCCATCCTGCCCTGTACTGGCAGCTGTCGCGAATATATGCCTCCACCTGGGCGAGGGGCTGTGAGTTATTCTTCAACCATTCTGCAAACTGCACAGCTCGCTCTTCGGATATGGTGGCTGCTGTAAAATACAAAAGATCACACTGTTGTCAAATATAAATATTACACCAGGCCATGCGACCCCGGTGATCTCTCAATGTGCTATACACTATTTTCTTATGTCCCCTGTTTTTTTTGGATTGTAGTTATAATATTAATAAATAAATAAAAACACTTGAATATATATCCATGGAATATAACAAGTGTATCTCGAGCCGGTTTCTCAAACTTACCTACCCCACCTTTAAGTGTTTCCTGGTTTTCATAACTTCTGTTTCTTTGAAAGAGGAACCATTAGGCGCATTCACACTGCGGTACTTTTCCCACAAAGGTTCATGTGAACTTAGTTCATGAGAACTCTTTTATCGCGTTCACACCAAAAAGAGCCGGTACTAAAATTAGTTCATGTGAACCTTTTTACCCCCACGAAAGTCCCTGCTAGAGAGCAGGGACTTTCGAGTGGCTCTCTTGTGAGTAAAGAGCTATATGTCTGATTGGCTGGGCGGATTGCAAACCACGCCCCGCAAAACTCCCAAAAAGTTTTGTGAAGCCGCCATTTTATTATCCTCGCATTAGCATTATTAGCATTAGCCCAGCGCAGAAACGCAGAGAGACTAACTTATGGCAACACAAAATAAAACATGGGAGCAGTGGAGATGAGGAGGTGTCGGCGTTCTGGCGATTTACTCGGAAGGCTTCAGTAGAAGCTGCTGGGAGTCCCAGCAGCTTCTACTGAAGCCAGTCCCCAACTCCGGGGACTTCCGGCCGGGGACTTTGGGCGGCAGTATACGCCGTGAAGTGGTTTGCGGCCTGCCAGTAAACCCAAAGCAGAAGAAGAACAAGTGACGTCAGCGGCTTCATTTGCCTAATCCTCCCTCAGGGACTTATTCCGGTGTGAACGCGATCTGTACTTAGTTCATGAGAACTAAAGAGTTCACATGAACTAAAGAGTTCACATGAACTAAGTTCATGTGAACCTTTGTGGGGAAAAGTACCGCAGTGTGAATGCGCCTATTGGCCATGTATTTCTTGATAATGACTCATTTCTGTTGAATTCTTCTTGAGTATTATTCTATAAATAACATGTTTTACTGAAAGCTGAGGCGTCAGATCTGACTCCATCCTCTGACACGCAGCTTTCTATAAGATCTGAGAACCTGCTGCATCGAGCATCGCAGTCAGCTCCAGCAGGTAAGCTCCACTGACCCTCTTCTCACTATTTGTGTTCTCACAGAAATCATTTAGGACGTATGTATACCAAACCTTTTCCTTAACCACCGAACACTTTCAGATTTGAGGTTTGACTTCAGAGGACCGCCGTCATGACTCCAGTTTTGCTTTTCGTCCTCTTCATGTCTTTGTCGGCCATTCCTCCGGTGAGTCTGACTCTTTACAAAATGTTCATTTTTTATTTAAAGAAAAAGGGAATACATTATTTTATTTGTATGAATAACATTGAAGAGAAATAACATGTTTTTTATATTTATAATGGTGTCCATTCGCTTTGCAGGGTGCTACTGATAACGGGGAAAGACGTGAGTTGGAAATGAAGAATTGACTGTATATTGACATTTAGTTTCTCTTTTAAATGTTCTGGTATCATTTGTTTTCTCTGTTGTTTCAGAAGAGTCTTTGGACGCCTCTGACATCATCGAGAGAGCTAATGCTCACATAAGTACGACACAAGTTTCATATTTTCTATCCAAAAACATGATGGCAAAATGACAATAAGACTTGGTATAGATCTCATCTCTGTTCGTCAAAGTCGAACAACAGAATATGAGTTTTCAAAAGTTACCATTGAAGACATTTATTAAGGATTCTTTTCCAAACACCTGTTGGGTTCAGCTTGTGTTATTTGAGGACATGTTAAGGTGTCTCATTGTTGCTCAGACATGCTTGTGTGATTTGTAACTTGTTAAAATGTATTTTTCACGAAGGGAAAAACCCTTAGCCTCAGCAAATGTGTAAATGTAAATGATATTTGTGAAACTCCAGACTCCTGGTACAGATATTCATGAACAAATGTGTTTAACTTATTGTTCTGCAGCTACGCCCCTGGTCGACGGCGACATTGTGCCAAATCTAAGAAGGAATGCAGATAGCTGCACGGCGAAAGGCTGCAAATGGCCCAAATCGCCCAAATCTAGTCTCGTAAACGTACCGTTCTCCATCTCCCCCGACTACAGTAAATACACATTGACCCTAAAATTCAACCTAAAGTGAGATCTTATGCTGCAAGGCAGACCAGGTTTGGTGAGAACAGTGCTCAGCACCCTGTTCTTTGTCTCTGCAGCCAGAACAGAGCGCAGCACCATCAGAAGAGCCCTGGTGACCTTCCACGCATCCACCTGCATTCGCTTTGTCCCGAAGACCACCCAGCGAGATTACCTCGACTTCTTCTCTGGATCTGGGTAAGAACACACATTGTAACACAAAGAAATCTCACTATTCTGTGATTACATTTGAACTTAAGTCTGAATCTGTTTCTGTTGTGGTTGGTCGTGATGTTGCTTCATGTCAGTGTTGAAGAAAATCATACTTTAGGGGAGGGGCTTAATTTCACTACTTTTTGTACAGGGTCACCAAATATGAATTAAAGGGGCTTATTCTTGATGGGGGATGTAGTTGTAGCCCCCTTGCCAGCGATTCTCTCTAGTTTAGCATACTCAGCCCGACTCAGCCCGGTTGTTGGCCCGGAAAGAACCTCGATTTTATGGGGCCAGAAAAACTTTGAAATAGTAGCTGGAACTACGCCAAGTGGAAACGCAATAAAAAAAACGGGCACGTTGTGGAAATGCGCCATGAATTAGTTACTTTGGAATGTAAAAAAACAACAGATCCCTCTTTCACACAAGAGGCCAGGAATGTATCAACAATACCTATTCTTAGTGAGTGTGTGTGTGTGTGTGTGTGTGTGTGTGTGTGTGTGTGTGTGTGTGTGTGTGTGTGTGTGTGTGTGTGTGTGTGTGTGTGTGTGTGTGGTGTGTGTGTGTGTGTGTGTGTGTGTGTGTGTGTGTGTGTGTGTGTGTGTGTGTGTGTGTGTGTGTGTGTGTGTGTGTGTGTGTGTGTGAGGTGTTGGTCCTCCCTGGGCCGACAGGATGGAGGACAGCGCGTCTCCCTGAAGAAAAATAGTTGTGTGAGCACATCCACAGTGCAGCACGAGGTTCTCCACGCTCTGGGCTTCAACCACGAGCAAGTCCGCTCCGACAGAGACGAATACGTCACCATCCTCTCCCAGAACATTAAGACAGGTCCGCTCACACACAAACGCTCTTCTTCACAGTCCTGATTGTACAGTATGTGTTGTATGAAAGATGATGCGATCTACAGAGAGGTGAGTTTATGCCTTATGTCTGAAAAGCCACCAAAGTCATTGCCATGATAGCAGCTCTGGAGGGTCTTTCCCATTTCCCAGTTTGTACACCCTCCATCCCACTTGGAAAAGCCCTGTCTTGTGTTTAGTCTTTTAGAATGATAACATCTGATCATTACAAGTCGACACAAAGGACATCTGAGGCTGGGGAAGGTGTTAGCTTTGCAGAGATAAGTATTGGACACATTTAGATTTGTATCTGATGGCATTAGATTTAAATGATTACAATATATTATCTTTGAGTTTTGTGCCATCTTTAGATGTTGAGATATTTGACTGGATCGGTGAAAGCTTTAGCCAAGTTGCTGCTCTAGAAGAAAAGTCAGGGAAACATCCTGTGAGCTTCACGAATGTCTGGCTTAAATCCATCCAATAGTTACTAATAAAGGAGTTGGCTGTGAAGTCTTCCAGCATGCTTTTAAGCAAGTTTTGTTCCCACATTTTCAATCCAGCGTTTATAAAAAACTGTTCTCAAATATAAATGCTCTCTTGTTCTCTCTTCCTGTGCAGGAAAAGAACATAACTTTAAGAAGAAGGAAACTAACAACTTGGGTACTCCCTACGACTTCGACTCTGTCATGCACTACGGAAAGTGAGTGTTTGTGTGACTGTATGTGTGTATATGATACTCAGATCTTTTACTGTAGTGAAAATAGCTATTCTAGGTTGTAAAAGTATTATTTTACATGTAAAAGTCCTGCATTCAAAATCAAACGTTTCATTATTATTCATCGGTTTTCTTTCTTCAATGTTGGGTATTGTGAAGTCAAATTTCATCCAATATTGAATTAAATCAGTTGTAGGTCTTACGTCTAACTTGCCTAGTGAAGAAGCAAGTGTCTGTGTGCTTGTGATGTGTGTTTGCCAAACATGTTGTCTTCTTTTGATCCTCAAGACACGGCTTCAGCAAAAACGGCAAACCAACCATCCTCGCCAAGAGCAATCCGAGTCGTGACTTTAAGACTGCTCTTACGATGACCAAGAATGACATTGCCCGTGTCAACAAGCTTTACGAGTGTACATGTGAGTGGGAAATAATGCTCTATTCTCCAAAAGTGGAAACCTAAACGCAGCGGACACATCCAACTACCAATATAGCTGCAACAGGAGAACAGGAAAACAGGGTTGAAATATTGTTTATCTGAGAAATGAATTAAAATCTCATTGTTTGTTTTCCTCACCAGAAACGGAAGTGAAGGGTCGGCCTCCAGATAATTCAACTCCCGGCTTTCTATGATTCCACCAAAGGTCCAGATCTGTTGTTTAACAGTGGCTGGCTTTCAAATCATTTGTGAATGGATTTAAATCATTTCCTCTCTTTATTGGTTTTAAAATATACTCTTTACGATATGCTTATGGTTTTACTTAGTGGGTTAAAGACACATTATATTGTTAATGATGTGTCCAGGGGAAGAACATTTAAAACATTTTCAACAATGAATTGATTAAAGAGACAATGATGAAAAACATGTTGATGGAATTGCTGATTGGTACTGATGATTTTAATGACTTTGTTTTTATCTTTGCAATGAAGTTAACAATTTGTTCAATAAATATTTAGATATATATTTATTTTAATTAGAAATGAAGCTGTAATTACTCTCACTTTGAATCCCTAACTATGGATAAGAAATACTCAGAACAAGTACCAACAGAACAATGTGTAAGACATATTACTGTGCGAGTAAATATTCTCTATTCAGTTAAAACTACGTTACTATCGAACATCTTAGACCTCTGACTGATATGTCATATATAATGATATATAGTTATATAAATCACATACAAATGCTCGATTAGTCCAGTGGTTTCAAAGCAAGTACATCTGGAGGGTCTTCCCTCCTCATATTCTCATTCAGGACTTTTTATTTGATCCATTCTAACCGCGGAAAACAAAGTTAAGTAAACCCGGAAGTGACGTAATGTAAACATTCGGGTTTTCCTTCAAAATAAAGCTTTTCAAAATAAAACGGTGCATTCATTTAATATTCACGTATTGATTTTAATTTCTTACAGATGCAAGAAGCAAAGTTTGGCTTCTCCACCTCAACACATAATAAAACAGAGAGAAAAAAGAGATTAGCTGGCTTATTCGATTAGCTGGCTTATTCTGCCATCTATTGGCAACTCCCCACTCCTGTCTGCTCCTCCGCGAGAGCCTCCGAGGAAGCAGAGCCGAACATTACTTTTTGGGGGGGTATTATGTGGGAAGAAACATGTTTGCTGCCCAAGAAGACCGAGAAGAACACCCTGAACCCGCTTCAATAAACAACAGTTTCAGTCAAACGCTTCCACGTTTTTTTAAATCTATGATTATAATATTTACAAAATGGGGATCCCCCTTATTACCCTTTTAAATGTCCACTACCCTAATGTGTATGGATGTGTATTGTAGTATAACTTTCATATGACCAAAATATATATTTACTCTAATGAAGGTCCATCTTGGTTTTTTTGAGGGGGCTTGATATCCAAATATCAATGAATCAGAAGACCTTTATTAGTCCCACAGAGGGGACATGTGCATCGTTACAGCAGGAAAGAGCCACAGACAGCTTAATGTTACATATATTAAAAAAAGAACTAAGTTATGATATAATAAAAAATATAATACAAAAAAAAAGTAAAACAAAATACTTCTCAAAATACAAATCCTGTAACAGTTCTTAGGATTTAGCAGCCAGGTATATATTACACAGTTATTAATGGCATATGTATATAATGTTTATAAAACACGGGTAGAATTGTAAGTTACTTTTCACAACAAGTCAGTATCCCTCCGCGTCTGAGAAAAACAGTATACCGTTGGGCAAACTGGAACAAGAAAGCAGCGGAGAAGCAACGGGGCAGAAACCCTCCTTGTTACGCAGCGGTCCAGACATAGACATCAAACTGCAACACATATTCAGTGTGCAGTTCCTTTGGCATTAGGGCAGGGATATCTAGATACTTCCCAAGGCTTGACATCATGAATTGTGCTACTTTTAAAGCAAGCAACGATGTTTTCAAATCTGTAATCAAAGAAGTCCGCAAAAAACGCTATCGACCAATCAGATTGCTTGATTTGACTTGTCAGTTTTATAAATATATTTACATTTCTTCCGTTGCGAAACAAACTTACAAAGCTTAAGATGGAAACATTTAAGATGAACTCCATCTTACTATGGAGGAGTGGATTGAGCAGTGCCCAGGGGCGTCGCCTGGACCTGGAAACATTCGGGGCTTAGCCCACAGTGGCGGCACTACAGTCAAATGTTCTACTGCAAGACTCCCCACACGCACATACACAATTGCGCCATCTAGTGTCACAAACGTATGCCTGCATTAGCTTTGTTATGGCGATAGATTGTGGGAGACTCTCAAAGCACGTGAGGATCTCTTGAGGGTAAGGTGCCTGTATTATATCGGTGGACAAAATGTATGTTTTTATTTTATAAGGACAATAACGTACTGTTGTGTTAGTTTAATTTTAATTGTTTAATGCTCACAGTCACAGCAACATGTTTTTTGTGTGATTGGCTATTTGCAGTGGCGAGCCGTGCACTTATACCTAGGCCCTCTGACCCCCGCCCCCTTCCCTCGAGTTATGCAGGTTATGTGCGTAATCTGAAATGCGTACCGTCACTTGTGTCACAAAGCGCATTTGCGTACCGACGTACTTGTGAAGCTTTTCCAGAAGGCGGTTAGATCACCGGACGACAGAGTCGGTCTCCGTGTGCACAGACAGGGCTGCTGTTAACGTCGGTCTGGACAACGGAATTGTGCCAAAACTAAGCCAACCGGCTGCGGAGGGAGACTCCCCCCTTCACTGGAGAACTGCGCTAAAACAGCTGATCACAACGTTCACACTCTGTGGTCACGAAGTAGTCCACTAGCCGCCGCCCCCCCCCTCTGTCGACTTTCCTGAAGTACTCCCCCGTTGATAGAAATCAACACGTAATGAATTAAAACCCCACGGTTTGATGATTGATAGGTGTGTGGGTTGTCTTTCATTTTGACACGCAGAAATGTTTTATAAACATAGATACTGTATGTTAAATGGATATATCCGCCTTCTTTCATTTATCTTTCCATTCCCAACAATATACATAAATAAATGGCATATTTTGGACATAGTTCGAATGGTGATTAATCATGATTAATTAATTTTTAAGCTGTGATTAATCTGATTACAATTTGTAATCGTTTGACAGCCCTAATATTTACTTAAAACTTTAATATAGTCATTTTCACTTAATACTCTAATATAGTCATCTTTCTGCATTCAACACTAAGGAAAGCTGTACAATTTGACATGATAATGAGGAAAAAAGGCCTCCGACAATGCAGATCATTTTTTGATCATATCAATTTTAAGATGCGGGTCAAGGCTTAATATTTGGGAGCATAGTGTCCCTTGCCGCCTTTCAGGAGCCCCACTGGATTGGCTTTGATCTGAAATATTTGTATAAAAAGCTGGCTGTCCATCTCATAATGTTCACATAGAAACTAGCTGTCAATAGGAAATATCAATCAGAAGAATTATAATTTCATGTAAAATCTGTCACAAAAAGAGGTTGCACATTTAAATGCAGGTGTTGTTATGGCAACGTCAGTGACCCGACAGCCACATTTACTGCTGCAAATACGTTCAAACATGCTGTCGACACGTAAAGCAGTGGCAACTATGCCACCATTTCAGCTGACTTTTTCTCAGAAATACTATCACATAACATCCATATATTTCAGTGCTAGGTTGATGCTTAGCTAAGCTAACTATGAAACACCTTAACTGACAGGACTCCGGATCAACTGTGTACTGTACAGTGGCGTTTTCTCCCGGAGGCCAAGGGAAGCCAGGCTTCCCCTGTTTTTTCGGATTGTAGTTATAATTTAAATAAATAAATAAATACACTCGATAATTCTCCTTTGCTGTGTTTTGCTGCCGGCCCGACTCTCCCCCATTCTCATTGAGTATTTTACAAAGAGTGAAACAGCGCCCCTCTAGATGTTATGGTGAAACAGTAGATTGCACTCTATGTTGCGAGAGGAGGCCAGCCGAATCTAGCTTCCCTTGGTGAAAAAAAAGGAGGGATTGACCAATCAGATGAGGCCCACGTGATGCCCCTGCCAACCTGTGATTGGTCAGGGCCATGCCAAGGGAAGCCAGCCGCCTCTTGCTTCCCTTCAGAGGCGGCTGGCGGCTGGCGATTTGATTGGACACTGCCATCCAATCAAATCACATCAACATCAGTTTTAATACTGTAACTGTCATCACCGCCATTAGAAATTATCAAGCAAATGAAGCATTATGGAGGGAGGAGATTTGGCGTACTTAATCAAACATAACTTTACTAAACTTCCGCTACAGCAGCAACTAAAAATTAAATCAGATGACAGGCCAATGCCCGCACTCGAGCTGTGTGTACACAGAGGAAAAAGGGAGAGAATCGGACGTTCAATGAGGACAATTATGTCCGCACGGAGTGGCTAACTGGAAGCGCTAAACTTCAGCGTCTATTTTGCTGGCCATGTCTTCTTTTTGACAAGGATTCGTGCTCCCTGAACAATCCTTGGGCAACTTCAGGATTCATCGACCTTGCCAACCTGCCACGGGCAATTGAGAGGCACGGTAAATCCAAACATCACATAGATTGTGTGATTGTCTGCATACATTAATAATTAAATGCTTAAATTAATAAGGAGAGAGTTTCAGCTGGAGAGTGCGTGCGGACCTGTCGGTTAGATAACAGGCGTGTGCAAGTCCTGCATCTGTGTGATACAAATGTGTGTAAAACGATACCGGGCGCTATAATCACTCATCTAGTTACGTTATTGACCCCCCCCCCCCCCCCCCCCGACCCAAAAAATGGGCTTCCCCTACATTTTTCCCCACGCCACGCTACTGGTACTGTAAGGTAGCTTCTAGCTTCATGTCGAACACTGACAGTAAGTCAACATTTCCCAGAGAGCTTTCTTTGAAATCACCAGGTAACGCTAAAAAACACAACATTTAGATTGTATGACAAAGTGTTTATTTAATCTGGCTAGCTAAAGCTACTTGTTAACGGTTTAGCTTACCCGCGCGATTCAAAGTAACGTCAACGTAGCTGTAATTTATGCTTTGCTTACATGTTCGCATAACTTTTAAGTTTACTGACAGGTACATACCTTGTTCACCTGGCTCAGGTGGTGGCTCTGGGGTTGTTGTGTGAGCCACCACTTGAGAATTGCCGTCTTTTTTATTAAAAAAACTTCTAATGTCCATCTTCAGAAACTCCGCGTCCGGGGCTGACAGTTTAAAGTGTAAACATTGTCACAGAGGAGAGGTACGTACCTGTCAGCCAATAAAACACATTTATTTCCATGCAACTCTCTGATTGGTCTGGTGGCGTCGTCTTGCCTCTGTGTTGCATTCACTGAACATGGGAAATTACAATTCTGCCGTCCATCCTATAGGTAAAGTAGGTTAATGTATTATATTATTGAGGGAGAATTTGTCCGGGGCTAAAGAAAAAACATCCTACCCCAGGCGACGCCCATGGCAGTGCCTATCTCCAGAAAGCACCTAAAGGACGACATGCAGAGCTACGTGAAGAGCAGGTAGACCAACTGGAAAAGTAGCACCATTCAAAAGCTTTCTGATGCGGGTCTTGAAACAAAGCAGGGACATGATGACCGTTAGTGGCCACAGGTGCGAAAGCTCTCTCCAGAGCTACTGGAAGCCGAATCTCGGGGACCGGAGAAAGTGGAGCAATATTCTGACCACGCCAAGCAGCAACCTAGAACAACCTCAACCTATACAAGTAACCTCGTAAGCATGCTGCTGATGCTGGACAGTTTTTCAGTGGCTGCACAATAAACGGCAACAAACACATGAATGTAAATAAATAGCCAAATAATGGATCAACGTTCTCCGTCTAATCTGATCGCTAGCTGTTAGTGTTGTTGCCTAGCAACCACCTTGCATTTTGTTTCGTGCAGAAGGCAACGGAGGGACTATTTTATTTTGAACGTCATTATTTACTAATAAAAACTATTTAAATTAGAGTGTGTACTTTTCTTTCATATTGCCACACTAACCGTTTTATAAAGATTACCAAGTGTGCTGTGCGTCGGGCCGAACCACGCCCATTAGCTGTGATATAATGAGCATATACCACGGCCTGTCGTGAGCTATTGCTTAAATATATTGCACATAGTTTGATGGTATTTAACAGCAGCAAGTTACACAATTTACAAAATGCAAAAAACACACCTTGTAACGATTCTAAGGATTTAGCCGAGCATACAACCGTAAATAACTTGTTGTCTCAGACTCAAAATTAGATGGTGTTGCTGATGTTTTTTCAGACAAGTCAACACTGTACGAGTTAACCCAGTTTACCAACAAATAATTTAAAGGTCCCATGTCACGGCCATTTCTCCTGATCATAGTTCCATTGTTGAGGTCTACTAGAATATATGTATATTGTTCAATGTTCCAAACTCACATTGGTTTCTCACAGCATCTCTGTATAGTCTGTGTATTCACTCTCTGTCCTAAACGGCTTGTTGGAGCTCCTGCCCCCCCTCCCTGTGAGCCCAGTGTGCTCTGATTGGTCGGGACGTTGAGGAGCGGACAGGTTTCCGTGTTGGACAGCGAGAACAAGCGAAACTCATCCTGAACACACAAACACTCACAGCCAAAGTAAGAACAATAAGTGTGGCTTGATACTGAATAAGAACAAGGTTTATAACCAGTGTTCAAATTACCCATTGGCTTTCGGGGAGCCCTATTTATTTATTTTGTTGGCAATCATATAGCAGACCTGAAAGATATATGGTTCCTGCATTAGATCAACATTGATTGCCAATAGGCCTACCTTGTTTGGTAGGACATCTTTTTTCTCATCTCCGAAATCTCGATCTCTTTTTCGTGTGCCTGGCTCTTAGTGTTTATAAATATTTTCCCGCAGGTTATTCTGTTGATCACTGCTGACTTTTCCCTGAATCCATTCTTGTGAAAGGTGCACTCAGGTGGATCTTTCTGCGAGCGGCAGGGAGATCAATATACTTTTTGCCTCTTTGCAAATCTCACATCCACATTTTTTAGTTTTTTTGAAAAGCCATGGATTCCTTTCATTCCACTCACTGCATCTTTTCTGTGTCAGTTAAGGAACACAGAAAAGACACTGCCGGTCAGACTGCTTCCACTCATTCGCTTTGAACGACCCGATCTACCAAAACTCCAAAATGAGTGGACGAGGAAAAGGAGGCAAGGGACTCGGCAAAGGAGGCGCTAAGGGGCACCGCAAAGTGCTCCGTGATAACATCCAGGGCATCACCAAGCCCGCCATCCGCCATCCGCCGTCTGGCTCGCCGCGGCGGAGTGAAGCGTATCTCCGGTCTGATCTACGAGGAGACCCGCGGTGTGCTGAAGGTGTTCCTGGAGAACGTGATCCGTGATGCCGTCACCTACACCGAGCACGCCAAGAGGAAGACGGTGACCGCCATGGATGTGGTGTACGCTCTGAAGAGGCAGGGCCGCACCCTGTACGGCTTCGGGGGATAAGCAGCTGCTGACCCACCGACCAAAGGCTCTTTTAAGAGCCACCTACATTACATGGAGACTTTCCTTTACTAGGAAAGGAAAGGAAGATGGAAGCAGATTTCCAAACCCCCCTTTCTACAGTGTAGCCCTCACCCTGCCCTCCTATGATGAGAGGAGCAGGGTGGTGGGTCCTCCCTCCCCTTCAAAGCCTGATAAGGATGTGTGTGTACAAAACACAACAAACTCTTACTGATATGTGATGGGTCCAGGCTCAAGGGCGTATGGCACTCTCAACTCTTTCCAGGACATGTCGGGGCCCTGCCTGCCAGTAACTTTGCCGATATCTGTGTTGATAGGTAATAGATTAAGAGCGGTGAATCATCTTAGACACAGGAAGCGCTCAAACGTTTGTGTGAGTTTATCTAATTTAGCAGTGATTCCATGTCAGCCACAGCTTGTTACAAAAAACATGACTGATAGTGTGTTTAACGAACTTAAACTAGCTTTATTAAATGTCAGGTCTTTGGCAGGAAAACATTTTTAATCAATGATTTTATCACTGAGCACAATCTCGATTTTATGTTTTTAACAGAAACTTGGATTGAACAAAATAACAGTGCAGCTGTTCTTATCGAATCAACCCCTCCCAACTTTAGTTTTATGAGTCAGGAAAGAATGCATAAGAAAGGGGGTGGAGTTGCTATTCTGTTCAATGATTCCCTTCAATGCAGGAAGACATCATATGGAAACTTTGATTCTTTTGAATATGTGGCCCTTCGGCTGAAATGCTCCTCTCGAGCTCTGTTTCTAAATATCTATAGACCACCCAAATACTGTGCAAGCTTTTTTGATGACTTTACTGAACTGCTGTCTATAGTGTGTATTGACTTTGACCGTCTAGTCATTGTTGGTGATTTTAACATCCATGTTGACAACCCCCAGGACAGAGGGGCTAAAGAACTGTTTTGTGTTCTTGATAGCTATGGACTGACTCAGCATGTGACGGAGCCCACGCACAATAAGGGGCACACTCTGGACTTAATTATCTCAAAGGGTCTGAATATCTCTAAGGTTGTGGTGACTGATGTTGCACTCTCTGACCATTCCTGTGTTTTCTTTGAGAGCTCTATTTCTGTTCACAAGAATGTTCAGAAAGAGGTAACCACAAAGCGATATTTAACTGAAAATACTAGGGAAATGTTTACTCAGAATGTTTCTTCCACACTTGCCCCTGCTAACATCTCAGTAAATGAGCTAGTAGATCATTTTAATTCAAAAATTCAAAATGTTATAGATGCCATTGCTCCAACTAAGGTAAAGGAAGTGACTGGCAAGAAAATGTCTCCATGGAGAAAGGCCATGACCGTGAGAACAGAAAAAAGAGAGTGTCGAAAAGCTGAACGCAGGTGGCGAAAAACAAATCTCCAGGTTCACTTTGAAATCTATAAAGAGAGACTTGGCCTTTATAATTTGGAATTGAAAAACGCACGACAATCGTTCTTCTCTGATATCATTACCAAAAACAAAAACAACGCACGTGCCTTGTTCGCTACCGTCAACAGACTAACTAACCCCCCAGTGTCAGTTGCCTCTGAATTTCTATCCACCAGGGCGTGCAATGATTTTGCCTTCTTCACTGACAACATTCAGAAAATCAGACAAGCAGTCAGTGCCTCTGCATCAGGAACAGCAAATGTGTTGTCTCCGTGTCCACTTAACATCAATTCAGACATAATGACACAATTCCATCAGATTAATGATAAAAACCTAGAGGACATTATTCAACTTCTGAAATCCTCCTCCTGCTGCCTTGATATTATTCCAACAGGATTTTTCAAAGATATTTTTCCTTGCATGGCCTCAGATCTACTTCATATAGTAAACAAATCTCTTCACTCAGGTATTTTTCCACAGGCCCTGAAAACTGCAGTCATTAAACCGCTCTTAAAAAAGAATAATCTAGATGCTTCAGTAATGAACAATTACAGGCCCATATCAAACCTCCCATTTCTAGGTAAAATCATTGAAAAAGTTGTTTTTCAACAGTTGAGTAATTTCTTGCATTTAAATAACTGTTTCGATGTGTTCCAGTCAGGCTTTCGTCCAAACCACAGCACTGAGACTGCTCTTGTAAAGGTCTTTAATGACATCCACTTAAACACAGACAGTGGCAGAACTTCAGTGTTAGTATTATTAGATCTCAGTGCTGCGTTTGACACTGTTGACCACAGCATATTACTAGACCGACTGGAAAACTGGGTGGGACTTTCGGAAACAGTTCTGAATTGGTTTGAATCCTACTTAAAGGACAGAAACAACTTTGTTTCTATAGGTAAATACACATCTGAGTTGACAAATATGACATGTGGGGTACCTCAAGGCTCCATCTTGGGGCGTCTTCTCTTTAACGTCTACATGCTACCACTGGCTCAGATAATGAAGAACAACAAAATAAGTTACCATAGCTATGCAGATGACACACAAATGTACGTAACAATTTCACCAGGAGACTATGCTCCAGTTAAAACACTGAGTAAGTGCATTGAACAAATCAATGACTGGATGTGTCAGAACTTTCTCCAATTAAACCAAGATAACACTGAGGTAATGGTTTTTGGAGCCAAGGCAGAACGTATAAAAGTTAGCGCTGAGCTTCAGTCTGCAATGTTCAAAACCACAGATAGAGCCAGAAATCTAGGTGTAGTCATGGACTCTGACCTGAGTTTCAACAGTCACATTAAAACAGTTACTAAATCAGCCTACTATCATCTAAAGAATATATCTAGGATTAAAAGACTAATGTCACAGCAGGATTTGGAAAAACTTGTCCATGCTTTTATCTTCAGTAGACTCGACTACTGTAATGGTGTCTTCACAGGTCTCACTAAAAAATCTATTAGAAAGCTGCAGCTGATTCAGAACGCTGCTGCTCGAGTCCTCACTAACACTAACGGTACGTCCACACAGCAGCCTTTCAAAAATCTTGAAAATCTTGGAGCTGGGCGTGTCTGAAAGCTTGGGGATTTCGCGACCAACAACCAATCACATTAATCTCCCGCCCCCGACATACAAAGCAAAAAACCCCGGTTCTTCTCCACTATTTCTTTTAACATTTTGAACATTTATGAGATTAATGTCTATGGTGCTATTTTATGCTACATTCCATGCTGGCTAATGATACTGTCTATGCTTGCTAGCAACAAAGTAAACTAGCAACCAAGTAAACTGGATATAAAATCCCCAAACAAGCGAAAACCTACCAGTTTCACCCACTGTCTCTGCCTTCCCTCCATGCCTGGTTCCTCCGGTTTGTATCCCGGTAAGTAAATAGGGACTGGTCATAAAGAACCGGGTGATTTGCTACACTAATAACTAAGTTCTCCTCCATTTTTGTGGAATATAGAAATGAACTGCGGGTCTGGTTCTCCCAGCTTGCACGCGGTTTGATTGGCTAGCACTTGAACTGTCAGATTTGCATAAACGGATCTGATTGGCTGTCGCTTCCAGCTCAGCCTCAAAAGTTGAACATTGTTCAACTTTGGAATCCTGAACATCCTGGAAATCTTCGCCTCGCCCCCCCCCCCCCCCCCACAATGCAGTTCGGCAACAAGCGAGGGAAAGTGACGTAATCCCCATTCAAAGTCAATGGGCGGAGACGCGCTGGAAGCGGTGGACAAATCGCCAAAAGCTGCTGTGTGTACGGGCCGTAAGAAAGTGGATCACATCACTCCTGTTCTGAAGTCTTTACACTGGCTTCCTGTGTGTCAAAGAATAGATTTCTAAATACTGCTGCTGGTTTATAAAGCACTGAATGGTTTAGGCCCAAAATACATTTCTGACCTCCTGCTAAATGATGAACCATCCAGATCTCTCAGGTCTTCAGGGACTGGTCAGCTTTCTGTCCCCAGAGTCAGAACTAAACCTGGAGAAGCAGCGTTCAGTTATTATGCTCCAAATATCTGGAACAAACTCCCAGAAACCTGCAGGTCCGCTGCAACTCTGACTACTTTCAAATCCAGCAAGAAGACTTTTCTTTTTGCCGCTGCTTTTAATTGAACTCTTCATATCTTAGACTGCACTGTAACTTTTATCCATGTACTTTTTCTTTTAATGTTTATTTTATTAGCTTTTCTTTTTAATGACTGATTTTAAATGCCATTTAAATAAACTTGCCTTGCCTTGCCTTACTATGTGTCGTTCAAGGTCACTCATGTTCGAGTCAAATATAAAACACTTGAGAGGTGTACACTATATAAAACTTAATATCTCTAAAACAGGACACTAACTTACAAAGAAGTATTTCACATTTCATCTTTTTGTTCACCGTTCCTTCTGTTAACCAAGATGAGTATTTTAATTCAATATATCAGACACCACGGTGGATTCTGGCAGCGTGTGTCCTGTGGGTATTGTCCTCAGTAATCTGGATTCATGTCTAATATGTTTGTAAGGCGCTTTGAACACTTGGGAAAGCCCCAAAGTAAATACCATGAATTATTAAGTCCTCATGTTTTTCAATAGTCAGGAAATTATTTCTCAGAGCATCATTATTGGTTCTCTGAAACGCAATCAATTTATTTTCACACTTCACGTCAACTCCGTAGGTGTTAGCATGCACGCAGAACCACAGACACGTTGTCTTTGATTGTGCATGCTCCAGCCTGTGTATAACCTGCGGGCTAATGACAACATCGTTTTGACTTCATTTAAACTCTGGAATGATTCATTGGCTTTTATAACATATATGTTTTGGGTGTCTGGTGGGAAGAAGAAACACATTAGTCTGTGTTGGTAAGAGGCATGTTAGCTAAAGAACTGCAGAAAACTGCTCCCAGCATTATTTTCTGCGCATGCTCAGTCCACCTCAGAATACGCTACATCCACCTCGGGAAACTACCAATCCCTTGCGAGCAACAGCGCAGGGATATTTGCATACGGTGGATATAAATAGACCGCTCTGCCTTCAGTTCTCGCTATCTCTATCAGACCTCAACTTGTAGTCATGCCTGCAGACGCACCCCCCGTCAAAGCGGCCAAGAAGGGCTCCAAGAAAGCCGTCGCTAAGACCGCCAGCAAGACCGGCAAGAAGAGGAGGAAGTCCAGGAAGGAGAGCTACGCCATCTACGTGTACAAAGTGATGAAGCAGGTGCACCCCGACACCGGCATCTCCTCCAAGGCCATGGGCATCATGAACTGCTTCGTGAGCGACATCTTTGAGCGCATCGCCGGGGAGGCCTCCCGTCTGGCTCACTACAACAAGCGCCGCACCATCACCTCCAGGGAGATCCAGACCGCCGTCCGCCTGCTGCTGCCCGGAGAGCTGGCCAAGCACGCCGTGTCTGAGGGCACCAAGGCCGTGACCAAGTACACCAGCTCCAAGTAAACCCTGATAGACCGACAACACAACGGCTCTTTTGAGAGCCACCCAACCCATCCAGAGAGCTCCTCCTGATTTACTGAAACTACCAGAAATGAAATTAACTTATTACACTAATGTTGCTCACTTGTATACAGAGTGCTTGGAAGGAGCCACCCACCACTCGATCAACTATAAGATCCCTTCCTGTTCTAATTAAGGTTTTCTAGAAAGGAAACCCTTTATCAAATGGGCCTTGTGCTTTGTTTACAGTCATAAAGCTCAGAGGAGAAGTCCCATCTCAGTATATCTAAATATTATTCACATGGCATCCTAAATATATAGTTTCCATTCATGCCCATTGTTTACAACTCTCAAATACTAAAAAAAACAATCCAAGTACATTCTGAAATATAATCAAGTACTCTCACAAATGTGAATATTTACTAAAATCCTGCATTTATATAAAAAGTTATCAAAAAATTAATTGTTAAATTTCACAACAATGTCACCAAGTCTTAAAAGACGGGCTCAAATTAAACTTTAATTATGTAAGATAGTTGATGAAATTCACGTTATTTCTCATTACATTTGGGAAGCCAACACTATGGAAAACTATTCCATTTAACTTGTATTCATACTTTGCCCTTTTGTATGAAGTTACCTTAAATTACTCATTTATTTCAGGGCGAAATGTTTAATACTAAATCATGTAATTATTGTTAGAGATGATATAATGAATGATAATATTTCCTAAAATAAACAAACCTTTATTTTCGGGAGTCCCCGGATCATCCCCTGTGGAGGAGTGGTCTACATTGTCCAATAGTAAAGCAGCTACAGCGCACGTGTCTCCCGGCCTGCACCAATCAGCGCTGCCTGCTCCGGCAGCTCCTTCATAAAGCCGCTGCTCACAGACACGCAGCTCTCCTCCTCCTCTCGCTGTGAACACTGAGAAACTACAATGGCCAGAACCAAGCAGACCGCCCGTAAGTCCACCGGAGGAAAGGCTCCCAGGAAGCAACTGGCCACCAAGGCTGCCCGTAAGAGCGCCCCGGCCACCGGCGGCGTGAAGAAGCCTCACCGTTACAGGCCCGGTACCGTGGCTCTGAGGGAGATCCGCCGCTACCAGAAGTCCACCGAGTTGCTGATCCGCAAGCTGCCCTTCCAGCGCCTGGTGAGGGAGATCGCTCAGGACTTCAAGACCGACCTGCGCTTCCAGAGCTCCGCCGTCATGGCTCTGCAGGAGTCCAGCTAGGCCTACCTGGTCGGCCTGTTCGAGGACACCAACCTGTGCGCCATCCACGCCAAGAGGGTCACCATCATGCCCAAGGACATCCAGCTGGCCCGCCGCATCCGCGGAGAGAGGGCTTAGAGACTGAGACCAGGACACCCACACACAACGGCTCTTTTAAGAGCCACCTACACCTTTAAAGACTTTCTATCCTTGATATTAATGAATACACTGGTTCACACTTCAGTTTTCTGTCATAAATATATCTCACAAAGGAGTAACGGGTCAGTGTAAACACCTGATGGTGTATTCTCCATGTAGCATGTATGTCAGTGTTTCTATTCAAACTAATCTAAATAAGTTAAAGTAGGTAGACCAAAGAAAATATAGAAGGATTCTTAAGACACAATTTTGAATTTTTAAAAAGTATTATAAAGACAAGTATTTACAACACATTTAAGTAAACAAATAACCTTTTAAAGCTAAAAGAATACTGGACAATGAGTATTTAATGTGAACTGCTGTGCATTATATGATGTCTCTGCTGCCTAACATTTGGTCATGTGGTTTATAAATGTGCTATATAAATCAAACTTGATTTGAAGTTTGTATTAAAACTGGGTAAAAAGAGGTATCTTTGGTTATTAATATAAAATTTAGACTATTTAAATTACACCATGTTCGTTTTAGTTTGTAATTTAAATGAGTGTCTCTTGTGCTTTCCTTTAAAACAGATAAAGGTTAATATTTGGTCTCTAGTGATCATCTGTCACCAAGAACTCAGCCAGTCTTATCCGGGTGTGTTTGCAGATACCTCAATAACCTCTATTTCATGAGCTGTCTGATTTTATTTCAGGTTTCTAAACGAACACTTACTCTCTCCATATAAACGATACCAATGAAGTTATAAAGTATATTTAAGCATTTGGGAGAGAAGTTAGAGGACAAAGTCTCCGTGCAGCCCCTCTCATTGCAGTAGTTAGAGCAGGTTTATAGTCTTCCCATCAAAACACAATACATGTAAACACTTTATTTGACTTGTATACGAAGAGGAACGTGTTCACCATGTGTTCGATACAACATGACCCTCTGAATGTTCATTTAGATGTGCTTTGTATTGTATACATGTATTGTTGAAGAGAAAGCACAAAGCGGCCCAGTGTTCCTGCTGCTCCGGAGAGACGGGCTGAGTTGAGTCTCTACGGTTCTCATGCTGCGTTTAAGAGCCTCTCTGTGAATCGGAGCTTTCCCATCAGTCTCATTGACTCGTGTTCCTAAAGGCCCTGACACACCAAGCAGTCACCAGAGGACTCGCCGACGTCGGCTGTTGCGTCGCGGTGTTCTCCTGCGTCTTGGCCATGTGTCGCACGGGAACACACCGCAAAGACTTCAGTGCGTGAGTGGCAATAACTCTCCTTACCAGCAGGCGGCGGTAGTGTGTATTCGTCATTAAAAATAGGCAACAACCGGAAGACAGAGAAGAAGAACAGACTGCGTGATTATATAAACAACAACAAATAGCGTGTGCAAACTGCAGCCTGGTTATGATCCACTGCTGTCTGCCCGTCTTTGGTCCACAACTACCCGGGGCAAGTCTCCTGTTCCGGGTGCACTGGGTTCCCAGAGAATCCACTTCCTCCTCAGCTCTTTCTCTGAAGCACACAAATAAACGATGTAACCATTGTGGCTAGTTAGCATGTCCAATTCATATCTATATGCAGTGCCAAACTGCACAGCTAGCAACAGCTAGCAACAAGATAACAACAAAACACAAGGTTGAAATAACAAATTACATTTCACGTTAACGTCACTGTACGCTGGCAAACAATAAGAAGCCAACAATATCTGCTAAAGAGCTCAATTGATGAAAAAGATAATCTTACCCGAGAAACCAAGTTGCGTTTCAATCTCTCGCCAGAGTCCGGTTTTCACTACTCGGTTCGAGTACCTTTTCTCTGTGATGTCGTACAGAGCTGGCCTCTCCTGGATCAAAGTGATGAGCAGGTCTTCGTTTGCGTCATTCCAGATCGCCATGATGAGATGAAAATAAATATCAGTCTGTGTGTGCCTTCTTAAATCGTTTGTTTACGTCCCTCACTTCCGTTTCGCTTCTCATGCACTGATTCGCTAGCTGAACAGCCAATCAGAGTGATTGTCTGGCAGTCCAAATAAGGCGTGTCACGGTCGACGGTGCGGGACACACCAAATTGAGTTTGGGCGACAGGACACGCTTCGTCTCCCGACTTACGAAAACAGCCGAAATCGGCCTGGTGAGTCAGGGCCTTAACGGCCCCTACACACGGCGGCGTGCGTTGCCGCTTCAACGCTTCTGCCCATTCACTTTGAATGGGGTGACGTCACGATTCGCCGAACTGCATTGTGGGAGCAAAGCGTAGCTTCTCTCGCGGTGCTCGCTGCAAAAGTAGAGCAATGTTCTACTTTTGCCGCCTCAACGGAGGCGTCAGCCAATCAAATCCTGCGTATGCAAATCTAACATTCCAAGCACTAGCCAATCAAACCGTGTGTATGTTGGGAGAGCCAGACCGCAGTTATTTCCCATATGTCAAAAAATGGAGGAGAAAATTATCGTGGCGGTAGGGAATCACCCGGTACTATATGACCAGTCCCTCTTTACATACAGGGATACAAACCGGAGGAGCCAGGCATGGGGGGAGGTGGCAGAGACAGTGGGTGACACTGGTCGGTTTTCGCCTGTTTGGGGAGTTTATATCCAGTGTACTTCGTTTGAATGGACAGCTAGCAAGCATAGACAGTATATTTAGCCAGCATGAATGCTTTGCTTTGTATGTCCGGGGCGGGACATTCATGTGATTGGTTGTTGGTCGCGTTGTTCGTAAAAAATCCCCAAGCTTCAGACACGCCAAGCGGTAACGCACGCCGCCGTGTGTAGGGGCCGTAAGAGCATAATGGCAGAAGAAGTCCCCACCGCAGCACCCGCCACCCCGGCAAAGGCTCCAGCTAAGTCCCCGAAGAAGAAGGCCACCAAGCCGGCCATGAAGGTTGGTCCCGGCGCCGCGGAGCTCATCCTGAAGGCGGTCACCGCCTCCAAGGAGCGGAAAGGGATCTCTTACGTGGCTCTGAAGAAGGAGCTGGCCGCCCAGGGCTACGACAACACCGCTCACATTAAACGCGCCGCGAAGAAGCTCCTGGAGAAGGGGTCCCTTCTGCAGGTCAAGGGAACCGGGGCGACCGGGTCCTTAAAGGTGGCCAAACCGGCCAAGAAGCCGGCATAAGGCGGCGAAGAAGCCGGCAGCTAAAGCCGCGAAGCCGGCAGCGAAGAAACCCGCCGCTAAGAAGGCGAAGGTAGCAACACCCAAGAAGGCGACGAAGCCCGCTGCTGCTGCCAAGAAAACCCCCGTGAAGAAGGCCACAAAGAGCCCGAAGAAGAAGGTGGTCAAGAAGGCTGCCACCCCCAAGAAGGTAGCGACTCCCAAGAAGGCTGTGAAGAAGGTGGTTAAAGCCAAAGCTGCTAAACCAGCGAATAAGTGAACGTTAGCTCCTCATCAAAAGGCTCTTTTCAGAGCCACCACATGTCCTCCAGAGCTCTCTCCTGAAGGTCATCTGTTCAAACCATAGACTGTATATATAAATGGACGTAGGGTCCGTGACGTCACCCATAGGATTCTGCAGAGTTGCCGTGAAGCCCTTAGTAGGCGGAGTCGGCCACTAACGGCTCGACAGCAGGGCCGGACTGGGACAATAAGTCAGGCCGGGAATTATACACCCAGTCTGGCCACTACCAGTTTTTTGTGCCATTTTGCTGGATTTATTTGTCAATATTTACAGCATTGCTGCCCGTTGTGATAGCCCTCTAAATCTACTACCCAAAAATAAATATATGGACATGGGTTACTATTTCAAAAAAATTGCAAATCTATTTAGGAACCTATGTGAACATATTTTAAGTGGGGGTGGACCTCAAATCCTATAGGGGTGTCTGAGGTTATCAGCCTCTCAGTCTGACAGCAGAGGACTATCCTCCACCTTGTTGTTGAAAAAGCTCCTTATATCCGTTAGCGCAGCTAGCTAGCACCAGATGCTAACAACAACAACAATACACGTAACCGGTGCGCGTGCTTTATCTCACTGCTCGCGCCACACATAACACACACCCTCCCGAGCTTGAATGACACACAGAGACGGGCATTAGTATGATCTGTATGAAAGTGGCCATGTCGGCAGGCCACATCATGTAGACAGCCAGTCACGCTCTGTGAGGCAGAGTCAGACCCACATTTGCGCAGCGTTGCGTTCACGACATACATACAAAAAAAAAAGTCCTCAGGCCAGCAGGCCACTTAGCAGGCCAGGCCATCGGGAAACCTCCCGGTCCTCCCGATGGCCAGTCCGGGCCTGCTCGACAGTGACGTCAGAGTTCAACTCCCGCCTTCTCCAGCCTGCTCCAAATAAGGGCAAAGAGGCGGGACCTCCTGCCACCGAGCTGGAAGTTCCAGAGCTAGCTGAAGCGACCAAGCTAAGCTAACATGCTCCCCATCTGCACGCTGCCTTCGCATTTTACGTTTCTAAGGTAAGCGGACATGAAACTATAAATAATAATCTAAGTTATTGAGCTTTTAGCATAATACTTCAGAATCTTAAAACCCCTTAACGTTTGAATGCAATTGTGCTAAATTCAACACTGGAATCAAGCAAATATTAATATGTTTGCATGACATTAGTTATTTATATTTTGATATCACTTAACTATACGTTTAAGTCAAGCTAAGGTACATGTGATGGTAGCTAGTTAGCGCTCTTACCTGTGAGGCCTCCTCCAAACAGCATAATAACCAGACTATCATTAAAACTAAGTACCAGTTCTAGATCCTTGACTTTAGACAAACAATTCAAAAGACAACATGTATTTAAAGACCAATCTTTATTTGAATGTGCCTCTTAACCTGAGATATTAGTTATACAGTAATAGTATTGACAATCTAAAAAAACTGAGCAACTCAACGGTTAACTTTATGTTTCTTATTGTCTAAAGCATTTATTATTTTCATTTTCCCAATCTCATATTCAGTGTGGACGGATTGAGACAACGTGGTGTCCAGAGAGCAGCAGAGACTTCAGGGAGAAACCTCCGTGTGATGGACGTCCTGTCTGTTGGTTTGGAGAGGACTGAGGGTCTTCCCTCTGCGATGAGGACTGAGGGTCTTTCCTCTGCGAGGAGGACCAGGCCTGATGGAGGATCCCATGCTGGGCAAAGCTGATACCAACTGCACAGGCCTAGTCGGTCACTTTATTTGACTAAATGTGTTTAATACATTTAATAGGTTTACACCTTCTGTCCATATGTGCTTTTTATTTAAAACATTTGATGAACTTTTGGTTCACATTTCAATAAATTGTATTTGTCTTTGCACTCCTTTTGTCCATTATTCTTACTGAAAATGTTAGATTACACATTCACATCCGACTGAAGATTGGCCCCATTTATTTGTGACGTTGCAAAACAAGGTACATGTTGTGAAGCTCAAAGTGAGGCAAATAGAAATAATCAGCTGATGGAGTGTAGATGTGGAAATAGCTGCATTCGATCAGCTGACTGTTTTTACAATAAAAGTAGTTTCTTAGTGAATGTCCTGTACTGGTCTTAACATCTCATAACATCAGCTTTTAATGTTCCTCTTGGATGTTCTTCTTGACCCTCAGAGAAGGAGAACATGTCGTGTCTTTCAGGCATGTCCTTTCCTAACAAAAATGACAGGAAACATAAAACATATTATTGTAGAACAAGTGTGTTATTTATGAAAGCGGTGTGTTTGTGTGTTTAGGCTGTAGATATCATTATTTTGTAATTGTAATGTTTTTTTTTTATTTCAACAGTGAGCTACAAAGACAATCAGATTATGAATGAACAGTATGAAGTTCATCAACATTGAAATATATGTTATTATCAAAATAATATTTAACTTATCAAAACGTAGTACAACTGTAGAAGCTTGCTCTGTTGTCTCACTGAAAGAATCACTTTTACCACGTTTTTTACAGACAATATTGAGAGATAAATAGTAGCAGTTTTCACTGTGTGTTAAATATATTTGCCTTCAATACATTAAATTAGAAAGCTGACAAAGTCATATTGCTTGTTAACATCTAAGGCTGCAGCCACACAAGGACAAAAACGGCCGTTTGCGTTACTGTTTAGTGTCATATAGACCATTCGGCCACACGAGGACGACCGAATACGACACTAAACGACTGAGGAAACGATAACGGGTCCCAAGGTGGATAGAACGGCATACGCAACGCTCTGGGGGGTCAAACAGCTCCGTGTGTACGCCCTATACGATCATTTTCTGATAATGATTGCGCAATAGCCCCGCCTCTCCCCACCTCTGCTGCTCACCTCCGCGTACCCCGCGCCATTGCTGATGTGTTTCGCCACCAACAACAACAACAATGGCGGATCGCAGAGTTGCTATCGTGCTCCGGACGCTACTGACCATGCTACAGTTCTTTGTGCAACATCTACAGCAGACTTACACATCCGGGGGGGATCTTACTCGCTGCTTTTGTGGATATGTACTGCAGCTTCAGCGATCATTTTCTGATAATGATTGCGCAATAGCCCCGCCTCTCCCCACCTCTGCTGCTCACCCCCGCGTCAAAGTAAACTGCACACTGAATTCAGATTATTTATCTTTCTCTCGATATGGACATCAACGCGAGTGAAGTCTAATCTGACAGGACGGAGACACCTCTCAAACTACCTAGTTATACATATGTTTATTATTTTACTGTCGGCCGGGTCACTCATTACTGGATCAGCTGCTGCGTGAGACAGACACTGGCGCTGTCCGAAGAGAGGGAGGAAAAAGAGAGGCTCCGTGTATTTATATTATTATATTATATAGAGTCGTTATTCATTTGTTTTAAAGCTCAATAAATAACAAAGAAGACCTTTGACCGGCACTTTTATAATTTTGTCGGAAGGTTTAAACTTTAATACACGTTGACTGGCGAAAAACTCTGCCCGCTTCCCTCGGCCCCCACCGCGGAGAATAAACAGAAGGGCAACCATGACAACCAAGCTTCTTCGCTGCTTTTGTGGAGGAAGTTACAGCGCCACGTACAGGCTCCTGCACGTACTGCAGCTTCTCCAGCGGTTGGAGCTAAACGGAGCGGTCTCGTGTAGACAGACACTATCCGGATAACTATTGCGTGTGGACGGAAGCTTGTTTGCGATTGCGTTTGCGTTAATCCTATGCGTTTTGCCGTTTTCGTCCTTGTGTGGCCGGGGTCTAAATGTAACTTTTTGCATGGAAAAAACCCTCAACTTAACTGATGTGTAGGTGATCTAGTATTTAGTATTGTTTAATGGAATGTATATCAGTGTATTCAAGTCAATACTTCATTCATTTAAACCAATATCTTTCTTGATTCTTTGTACAGTATGAAAAAAAGAGTCTTTGTACCTGAGCTGAAGTTCACTGCTGTGAGGAGTCCAGTTCTGTCTCTCACTCTCTGGTCCAGCCTGTCTGCATCACCTGGACACCTTAAACAAACAGATATATATGTAAAGTACCATGTGTACAAACAATATAACTGATTCTCTTCTGTTGAACATGTTGGATTGTGTATTGTCCGAGTCAGGGTCCTTTTTATTTTACTGTAACTTTGGAAGTTGTGTTACCAATGCTTACTGTTTATTTGATACCCATTTAGTAATGCAATTAATAAAAACAACAAGGTTTGGGTTCGTTCTTCAGATGACTGTGACGTTAACGTGTAAGCTCAATAATGAACTCCAGCTCAACCAACCATATTGTAATATCTAAGTAATCATCTTGAAATATGACATTAATAATTGTAATATACACACATCTTCTTGTGAGGTTGATTTCACATACACTGTAAAAAAAGATCGTAATTTTACAGTAAATAACTGTACATTTTTATAGTAATTATCATGTTTTTTTAAATAACTTGCAAAATCCTGTAAAATGACAGATATTAACAATAAATTAACAACCCAAAACATTATTTTAAGTATTTTGACAATAACAACAAATAACGTTTATTTAATTTTTTTTTACAGTAAATTTAATATATAATATTTACAGTATTTTTGCACTTTCAGAAAATACATGCAGATGTACGTAAAATAAAAAGTATTATCTGTAATTAAATATGTAACTCGTAATATAAAAGTGTATTACTATTATAAGACATTAAGATATTTCTTTGTAATTTGAAGGTAAACAAAACTGTAAAAAAAAGTCAACTAAAAAAATGTAAGCAATTTTTTTTAACATAAATCATTTTCTCTATATTCGATTGAATCCACCACAAACACAAAATATCCAATGTTGAAACAAAAGTAAATAAATGTTTTCATGAAATTCCTAACTTACTATATTGTCAACATCTACAGTCTGAGTCAATATAATGTATCATGTACTAAATAATGTTAATATTTACATGAATTATGTGACCATCTATGTTTCCTGTAGTTATTGAATTGCTCTTTTTACTGCACT